AAACTTGACATGTTTAATATGGTGTTGTTTACCTCCACCCAACATTATTCCAAACTTGAATCTTGTTTCTTCCTAAACAGTAGAAGCCAAAACCAAACCGACTGCTGTGGGGTTAATTCTGAATGATAGCCACCCTACAGGACAGAGTAGAACTGCCCCACTGGATTTGGATGGCTGTCAACCTTTAAGGAAGCCGACACATCGGCCTCCTGCTAAGAGTCTGGTGGATTCAAACCACCAACCCTGTGGTTAGGAGCTGAGTGCCTTAACCAAACAGCACCACCAGGGCTCATGGGAAATCGTGTAAAACCAAAACCAAACTCACTGCTATAGAGTCGATTTTGATAGTGTAAAATAGCATAAAGGATTTGAAAGTGCTAAGAATTTGACATGAGGTGAAGATACTGTGTACAGTATAATAAAAGAGCATTTACTCTCCATTGCAATGCAGGCCTTTAGATAGTTATGTGGAAATGTATGGTCTGTCTTATGTGTGTTTGCTGTTGAATGGGCAAACCCTTGTGGCCAACTGTGGTTAATATTGTAAGGAAACTCCCTTTGAGTAAGGTATAGAATTTCCCCATTTTCTTTAATTTAACACATTAATCAAAGTGCATATGAAGTAATCCTGGGTCCATTGAATCACATAATCTTTTTGAAATGGCAATAGTTGTATTAAGGTATCTTATGTGCGACTTCCTTTTCTAGAGATTGCATTAAAATCTTGAACATTTTAAATAAAATCATTACCATAGATTTTAGACCATCAGCTTAGAATATTTTCTTCTTTATAATACATTACATATTGGTATTTAATGTTATCCTTGTAATTGCACTTTACTGAATGACCCATAATTTGGGGTTCAGTTCTGTCTTCAGTGGAAGTCAGGGTTCATTGTCACAGAGAAAACAATTGTGCATTAAGGTGACCTGTTGTTTGTCTCCCGACAAACATCAGGGGTTAGCGCCCACGCAGCCTTAGGCCTGCCTAGGAAGTGACTAGAAGAAGAGGTGTGCTGTCACACTCACAGGCTTAGTATTTGCAGGGGTGTCTTCTTTAAAATTGAGTGTCTCTTTGATCAACATAATATTTTTACAAAGACACCATCGAAGGTCCCATCAAAACCTTTCTAGAAAACTCTCTCTCAGAATCTTTGCTAGCATATAACGTTAGCAGTCTTAGTGATTGTAAGAAGCTTTTGTTTGTCTTAGATTTGTCACCCTCAGTGTCCGGGAACAAAAGTTATGATTGGTAGGGATCTGTATGCTCTAGAGAGGACTTTGAGATATGTCGCCTTCAGTTTTCAAGTATGGCCGGGCGCATCATTAATCATCGGAAATGCAAAAATAAATAATCCAGTCCCATTGGATTTTTGTTTTATATGAATACTTACCTTTTCCCTTTTTTGGGTGTATACAGTTGAGGTATTTAGGTAACCCCTAACCTTTTTCTTCAACAAAGAAGTACAGTATAAAAATATTACCACAGTTTTCATGTGAGTAGGTCTTGAGAGGAGGGGGGCTAGGGGGAGGGCAAAAAAACCACACAACACCCTCGAGATGAATATTGGTTTGTGGGGGGGGGGCGGTTATGATGCAGAATGTCTTAACTCCAGCCCCAATACAGTACTTGAGGACCACCAGTATATAAAATTGAAAGCACATGAGTTTTGAAGCACTAGAAAAGGTTTGTAATTGATTAGCGCTGCTAGAAAGTATTGAAGTACAGTGAGTTTTGATTTGTGAATGGTTCTATTCAATAAAGATTAATTCTGTGTGCTTGATAAAATCTTAGTTGCTTTCAATGAGTTAGCTCCCCCCATCCCCCGCAGTTTATTTAACCATCAAATATTTCAGTGTTCTTTTAACCAACTGGAACATTTCTATCTTACTGAATTTAGCTATAGCATTACTGATTTAAACAAGTCAGCCTATCAGTGATTAGGTTGGAGGGTATAATTGAATAGATTAATTTTTGTTCTTTAAAAGAGCTAAAATATATCTTAATGCAATCATGTGTATTTCATGCCTTCCTTGCAGTTTAAAGATCTTCCTGACTTTCCCGTGACTTCAAGCGTATCAGGAGACCCACATAGACTAGCACGATTCTTTCCAACCAGGATAGCTTTGGAATAGTTTGCATTTTAAAATACAATTTTTATAATTTTAAAGTGAAATACTTAGCATGTTTCTCATAAATTCTGGATTCTTTTAAGTTGAAATAATTTGTAAAACAAATTTTTGGGAAGTGCACTGACACTCCTAGCCTTAAGAGTGGCCTTCTCAGTTTCTTTTTGGCGTTTTCATTCTTCCCGAGTTTTGGAGTCTAGCCCTCTTTTTAGATGCAAGTTAGGGTACTTTGCCACTATTCCATCGTGACACGATGGAATTACTACTATTAATACGGGCCTTGACTATTTTGGAAATTGGCTCTCACACATCACTTTTTATCACTTACTATATGGTCAGCCACACATGATATGTAAAACTTTCCTTCGTAGCTGCTAGTGTTGCATCAGTAGGCTCTTCGCTGTAGAATTGTTTAAGCTGCGTCTCTTATTTTCTCCAGGCATTATTTCTGATCAACAATAGATTTTGAGTAGTACAGATTGGGAAAAGTCTAGGTTAGTGCAAGGTAAATCGTGTTCTGGAGGAGCAAGTACCTTGCGGTTCATTCTCTCTCAAGTAAGTGCACACACACACACACACACACACACACAGTATTTGCAGAGAGGTAGTCAGGCAACTTATGCTTTGTACCTCACCTAGGAAAAGCCTAAACTTTCTTCTTAAGTATTTTACAAAAACGGGCTCTATGCTTTTGACATTTATTGCTGACAGTTACACTCATCATATGAGAATTTGAAACTAGGAGTGACTTCCACGAGCCGGTAGAGTGGGCGTGTTTGCAGTGCGGTGCTAACCGACACACATGCCCATGACCCACCTGCAATTAGTTTGGTGCAGTGGGTTCATGCCCAGTTCTCTGTCTGGACTCTGCGGCACTCTGGTGGCAGAAGGGGGAGTCGTGAAATCTACTTTTTAGAAGAAGGATTTACTATAATGCTTAATAAAAAATATGACATGCAACCAAAGATGCTCTTTACTTAGTTTAGGATTATGGCTTATTTAGAAATTTCAGAAATCTTAATGTAAAATGGTTAGTAAGTTATGTCAGGGAAATATAAGCCCCGACATGATAAAATTAGAGCATTTTTCTCTTATTCTTTGTGTCAGTATTAATTGCTATACTTCCAGTGGTGATATAGTCCCTGAAATTTGTGCTGTTCCCATATGGTTAAAAAAGTGTTGTTGTTTCTTTTTAAACAGAATAAGGCTATTAAGCAGTACATTAACTGTGAGAGACCTGTTGCAAATGGTGTCTCTGCATAACAGTGATTTTAGCCAGCTTTTTGCTCCCTCTGTCTTCTCTAGGGCAGTAAGGGTAAGAGTTCCTACATATAATCTGTAATTATATTATGGGGTATGGTACAGTTAATTGTGTTTAATGTTCTGCTCCTTTAACGGAGGGCTTTTTAGATTAAAGCTTAAAACCCACGTTACATTTTAAAACTACTTGTGATTGTTGTATGGTACATGTCATCACTGAGGGTCCATTCACAGCTCTTCAAGGGGGGGCATTCCAGAGGGTTCACCTTTAAGTTTTTTTTTTTATTTTGGTGAAATACAAAGTACACTTCCTCACTCTTTAAGAGAAAGCTTTTTCCCTCCCTTCAGGTTTAATTATTTCTCTGTGACCTAAACCAAGACTGATCCCCAAGTAGTAGCCAGTTAGAATGTGTGAAGGAGGAGGAGTAAAGGAAACTGCAAGCATTCGTTGTAAGTTACAAAGCAATGTTAATGCCGGTATGCACAGCTCAAGGACTTATTTTAAGGGATAAAAGGAAAATCTTAAAACTCGCCTTATAGTTGGGACATGTTGGACATCATGAAGAAAGTCTTGTAAGTGTTTAGATTTTTACTGTACTGCCATGGCAGTGTGTGGATGTTAAAGTAGTTGACTTATCTGTATCACCACTAACTGGAAATTAAGTCTTACATGGCTAGATTATGCATGTTTTCTTTTAAAGTCTAGCTTGATTTACTAGGTATGGCCCTTTTAAACCATACAGGGTATTCTTACGGAGCTTAATTTGTCACAAGAGTCGGCGGTATTCAACTCGGTGGGTCCAGGAATGTGATTAAAGGAATCTCAGAGGTTCTGCTATTTGGTGTGTGTTCAGAACAAGTTCTACACATGGGTGCTAGTGTCCAAAAGTAAAATTCTGTATAGAAGAAACAATTGCCTGTTAAGGTTTTAAAGACTCCCGTGAACTTCTAAATATTTTAGGCAACTGTATAGATCTCTAGAAAAAATAGTTGTTCGATATACCTGTAACTTGATTTCAATTGAATGTATGATTCAGTGTTATAAAGTTGTTTTAGGAACAGATAACTTATAAAGCAGTTAAAAATTATAAAGAGCTTTTAGTTGAGCTGGCTCAAATGTTAACCACCCTGTAGGTTTATTTCTGTTTTGCATGGTAGGACACACTGTCGGGAAAATTCTGTGGTCTGCTATTTTTTAAAATTACTTCCCTTTTGACGTTTGCTCAAATATTGGGAGCTGCCGGAGTCAATAATTAATAATACTTTAACTTAGTGTCTAATTTTATTCCACTGAGGGCTAGAGAAACCTGTGCTATTTTTCTTTACTAATTTGAGCTTCTCATGTCTGTACTTCTAGAAAACATTCTGATTAAAGCCCCCCAAAATTTCTTTTTGTATATTTCAAGCCATTACTCAGAATTAGCAAAGTGGCGGATGCCAAAAGCAAACATGTAAAGCAATTTCATCTCACCCTTTCAGTGCAACAATACAGCATTCCTATGACCTGTAGTATACATTTATTTTGAAGAGCCAGCAAGTAGTTTAAGACACATACTTTTATGTTTCACAGGTTCATCGCGAATAGTTCTTTAAAAGACGGTAACACTTACCCCAAAAGAAGTTTTGCTGGCATGGTGTCACTGTGCTGAAGAGGCTGTTCGATGCCATAGTCCCTCCTTTTTGGTTCAGATAGAACTTGTACCCTCTGTTGTAAATACTGCTTGCAGCCTTATACTGAAAACACAAACCATACCCAAACCTTGTTTTAGTCTTACAGTATGCCTGGAGGACATAGACTTTCTATTTATTTTTTTCTGTCAGGAAATTATGTAGCTGGTAACATGCGAAAAGCAGGGAAACAAAACAAAAAAGAGAATGAGCAAATATTGGAAGGACCTACTATTCCTGCATAGGCTGTGGTTAGGGAGCACTCACTGCCTGTTGGTCCCCGTGGCTGGTAGTGACCTGCGGAGATTAACCATTTAAAAACCAGAGACTTCTTGCTGTCCTCCTGGAGAAAGTTTGCACCGCACTTGTGGTTCTGTGGTTGTTTGTGAGGCGAATGAAGCATTCACACAATCCAAAAAAGCAAAAGCTTTAAAACTCCTCTTTTTTGGCAAGCCCTATTACTGGAGAGACAGAATCATGTGGTTTGTGACCTCACGGTACTCCGAGTGCAGTGGGACTGCCTCCCACTGTGGCTTTCCCCCCTTTGCTCCTGCTCTCTCTGTCTCCCTCTCTCTCTGACAAAAGGCTTGTGGTAAGGCCCTTCCTGGCATCCAGAAGGATATAGCTTTTTAATTTTTGTGACTCATGAGGACTTGGATAGAATACAAATGCTGAAGGAGCCCAAACTCCTGTAAGGTTAAGGATTTGTAGAGCAGAACTCTGTTCCTTCCTTGCTCCACCCCCCCCCCCCCCCCCATTCCCAGTTCATTATTGTGTCTGTGGAAAAGTGAGCAGAATTTGGCTCAAGTGCCTCTGTGAAATTCAGAACAACAGTGATGATTTACAATAATTTACCTCTTTGGATTGTATCACATTCTGGGGTCTGCTTCATATTTGCTGGGTGGCTGGATTCCTTCTGTTTTCCTTTTTCTTCTTAAACTTGTGAATCTGTAACTCATTGCAAAAAAAAAGTTTACCTTTCTTAAGGTCTGGTTGCAAACTGCTAGCTGGGCTGGACTGTAATTGGCTGTCATGAAAGTGTTAGTGTGCAGATTCCTTTACAAATATTAAATCACGTCTGTCTAGTTTATGGATTATCAATATTCGATGGCAGGCTCCACAGTAAAGATTAAATGTAATCTTGTGTACACGCTCATGTCACGACTGGTTTGAGGCTCTTCAAGAAAGGAATGGCATGAATTGTAATAGTTTATTGCACTGAGCCTCCGTTTTCTTTATGCGTGTAGTATAATTTTTATCTTTCAAGGAAATAATTTTATTTCATATGATTCTTGAGTTTATTTGGCTGTTAATTTTAACGAGTCTTTGATAGCGTGTCTTATACATATGTAAAGTAAAATTCTTACATGGTAACTTAGATTGCTCTGTATTAGATTTTATAAGCTCAGGAGGGAGTGGGTTAACAGAAGCTGTATTTTTTGTTTATAATGGAAGCTTTGAAATAAATTACAAAATGCTGTGTGTAGTGAGGAATAATGCACACAGACCGAGTATGTTAGTCGTCTCGATTTGCTAATTCTGATTCAGAAGAAAATTGGAAACATCTTTGGGAAACTATCTCCTTCTTTGCCCCTTTGGACATGTATGTATAGAACTCATTTTCTTATTAGGATGATTGTGTATCATAGGCAGTGAAATTTATATTTATGAATAGAGCTTCCTGTTTTCATCAGTTGGGAGTGATGGAGTATTTTTCAACAAAAATTATAAAGCCGAACACACCAATTTCGCAGACATTTTTTCCCATTTACCCACACCACTGTGAATTTGCATGTGTTCAGTTAGACTTCTTCCCAATGTGATAGTAACTAGGAGTGGCGTGAAGTGAATGACTTACTTGGACGGTGGGTGGAGACAGTGAATTGTAAAACGTGTGTGTGTGTATTGGGGGGTCATGTATAGTGAGGTGAGGGCTGCAGAAGGTGGGTGTCAGAGCTAAAATATCTTTGCACATGGTGTACCTAGTGTAGTTCTTAATCTGCTATGGGTTTATATTTGATAACTGCCAACATGTTCATAAATTTCTCTATAAGATTTTTTTTTGGATTTGTTCAAAACACACTGGGAAGGACACGGGAATGCTTTATAATCTCTTTCAAATGTCCAGATCTATTCCATCAGTATTAATGTTTGATTTTAAGCACATATTTATCATGCTTATGTGATGTATAAGCAGGTTTATATTAAAAAGTGAAAAATTTCTTTCGATACACACACTTATTCATGTAAAAGGGAGAAAATGAATCATTCACGTGAATAGGTGCTAGTATGATCTATATATCTAATTAGTATCTAAAGTGAACAAGAGTTTTGTTCGTGTAATTCATGGAAACTTAAACTCTTCGACACAGCATTGCGGCAGAGTTGAGGCAACTGACAAATGTTGGTAGCTGCTGTTTGGGAAGTAAGTGCCTTTCTTCTTTTAGGGTGAGTTTTTGTTTCTGCACCAGGATCCCTAACATTTAAATAACCTCAACCGTTTGCTCTTTTCTCCCTTATTTACTTATTTCTGTCTTAAGTGTACGTTTGATCCCTGCAGTCCACCTCGTAGGGATGTTGAACACCTATGTGTCTGCTCATTGCTGGGGCTTTTAATTCATCCTGCCCCCGCACATGAAGCTTTGTGCAGGGATCATCATGCGTTGCAGAAGGGCTGGTGGAACAGATACGGTTTGATAGACCTTTTTCTTTCTGTCTTGCTTGAGCTGGGCACATTTTGGGGGAAAGGTAGTAAAAATTATGTTCTTTATTTAAACTTCACATCTTTAATAGCCACACACATTTTTTTCGCCCCCTGAATTGAAGATTTATTTTTTGCAGTGACTATTACTTTGTGGTAAAACTCTTTAAACAATACTGATAACGGGTAGCCATCTGATAATTGACAGTTTGGTTCATTTGAAATAGTGATGGAGAGAGACTAATGCAGACAAGTCAATATGCAAACAAAGCTCTTGATTATAGATTTATATCATGTTTCTAGTCAGATTAAAACCACAGCACTTTTTGGGGGGAGGGAGGGCGGGGAGTTTGCATGTTTTAGAGACCATCAGAACTTTATCCTGCTGGAGATATGCTAGTATTTGCTATGTGGAAGTAAGTAGTAAGTTTAAGTCTAATGTGGAAATGATGCATTTGAATGTCGTGGAAGTGAAATACAGATTTGAACCTGAAGTTAATTACAAAAAAGTCAGGAAGTTGGTATCGTGCTTCCCCCATCACCTGGTGTTTAAGAAAGTTTGTCAGACTTGGTTGACATGTCTAAGGTCACGCTTACAAGTCACAAACAAGAGAGCAGGATGAACTGCTGTGCATGCTGGAAACGGCTTCAGTGTTACCGTTTGGTTTTCAATATTTTTTTTCCAGAAGTAATTATAGTATTTTCCTCAACTGCATTTACTTAATTGATATTGTTCTTACTCCTGTGCTTTTATTTTATTTTAAGGATTGTGTTAGCGTTCTGTTTGTCACCATTCTATTTTTCTTTCAGTTGGAAGCAACAGGAGAACAACTTTGATGTGAGAATTGTATAAACTGTAGAAGTCCTAGTTTGGCCTAAAATATTCTCACTGACTAGGAGGTTTCTAGACTTTCTGAATTTATTGTTTCAACTTGGCATGTGACAGTTTATTGATTTAATTTTCAGATTTCATATAAAGCTGCTCAAACTTCTGTAGCACTTGTTGGGCCTTATACTGATGGCTTGAAAATTTTTTAGGTTAGTAAAATAAAGTTTCATTAGTACTTTAAATTATGATAGCGGAAGAGTCATACTGTTTCCTTGTTTTAATGAGGTCTGTGTTGGTGTGCATGACTGACTGCATACACGTGTGGGTGGTGGTGGTTACTGTGTGTACAATTTTTTTTTTAGTTTCAATTAAATTTATAAAACCCCCAAGCGCCACCATTTCCTTGATTTCCTAAACAATTTGACTTGGCTGCTATTAGCAGCTCACTATCTGTGTAAGTGTAAGATTATATGGAAATTGGATGCTGAAAGCAAAAAAATCCCAAAACACTAACTTTTCCCCTCTGCTTCAGTAATGAACTTCATCATTTTTGGTTTGGTTTCTCTTTCCCTGTTTGAAAATTTTATGAAGTGTCAGGAGCCGATTCTTGTTATTCTCTCGGGCATATTGATATTCACTGCAGATCACTGTTATATTCTGAAAGACGAGACTCTTGTTAGGCATCTGCATCTGACTAGGACAGAGATTTTCTTCTTCTGATTATTTTCATTGTCCCTCAAATCCCTTCTTTAACACATTGCTTTGTGTGCCCTTAACACTCTTAGTTAGTTTTTGTTTCTTTTCTCTGTGACGCTACTTTGAAGCTTAGAGTGACCCGTGCTTGTTTAATGTAGCCGTGCAAGTAATTTATGTTTCTTATAATTATTGGAACAATTCATCTTCCAGTGCTGTCATTCCCATAAGTAGGGGAGGGGAAAAAAAAGGCGAGAACTTGCACAAAATATGGGAAACATGCTCATATGACAGCTGAGGATGTGGCTAAGCTCAAGCAGGAAACTACTACCCACAATGCAATGTTACATATACTACCACTTAATAAAATTCATATCAAACATGCTACTGACAAAACCAAAGAAAAATAATATCCCAACTATGCTAGTTAAGGTTCTAAATATATCTAGGGAGAAGTGAAACTAATCTTTTTAGAATTTTTGTATGTTCAGATTATAGCAAATGAAAGGGGGGGGGGATATCACAATACATTGGGGTTGTGCTTGAGATTTGCCCCCGAGTTGCAGGGAGAAGTGTCTGATAATGAAAACTCTTTGGGGGTGTTCACTCTTGGATAAGGCGCAAGAGGACACTGCTGTCTCTTTTAGTTGTGTCCTCCTGGTGTTAGACTGGGGTTAAAGGAGGTTGTCGGCAAGCATCGTTCCCTATGGCCAGGTGGATTCCTTTCTTCACAGCTTGTCTCTTCCGGCCAGGTTTGGGGGAGAGGAGGCTTGACTTGTCCTCGGAGGCATATTTACTTATCACTTCATTGCTTTTCTTGCTCTTGTATGCTAATTTACCTATAGCATACCTGATCGTTCCTTGGCTGTACTATAGGGAAGTTAGTCTAATGCCAAAAGGTGAACTGTTTTTGTAATGTGGTTGAAACTGATACTACGGCATCTTCCAGAAGACCTGGGTTTCAGTGTATTTCAGGTTTCTGTATACAAATTGTAATTTATTGTGCTCATAACTGTCAGATTGTAATTTTGAAGAATTTAGTACCCTTACTATCGTAGATGAATTTATAGTGTTTGAGGTTTAAGCAAGGGAACCTAACAGACTCTATGAATTGATGGTAATGCACAAAGATGTATCAAAGAAAGCCTAGGAAAACCCGCCAGCTCACATTGCTCATGAACAGATCCCCTCTGAGTGTTCCAATCTGTAAATGATCCACGTGTGATTTGAAAACGGCCACGTATGTGCCATCTCCTATTGGACCACGAATGCCATTGGCTGTCGATCTTCGCATTATGATG